ATGTTTGCTTAGACATTGGCTACATTGTTGATCACACGTCAGATTACTCAAAACATTATGGAAACCGCCGTGCCTTTCTTAATGGAAAAAGTGAAGCTATCACAACTCACCTATAAGATGACTAAAAGCATGAGTGAGAAAACACTCAGAAGGCATGTTGAGGAGGTCCGCAAGAATAGTACGCTTGCGGAAGACTTGAAGGTTTGTTAAAGATGAAAGTCTAGCTGGAGTAACAATGTTTGAAATCTATTAAGTGGCAGCGGCAACCGCAAGCATACTTCACCCTTGGTTCTCCAACAAATGAAGGAATTAGAAAAAGGTTTTCACAAAGAAGAATGGCAGGGAAGGACAATGAGCTACATCTTTTAGAGGTGTTAAGGACTTGCTACATTGAAAAGTACTCTATAAATACGATAATCTTTAGAATTTGAATCAAACTGAAGAGTTTCAACTTCGTTCTGCTCGTCTTCCACTGCCCGAGTTCAAACCATCCGATTCACCTGAACTGAGTCAAGCTGAACTAGAGAGCCTAATGGCTGTATACGATCGCCCCCTTGATGACTATCTTGAAATGTTCATTCAGGTGCCTATATACCTTTAATAAAGTCTCGTAAGACTAAGTTACTAGTTCATTCCAGTTCGGCTACGTGCTTCTTTTCTCTCCCGCTTTCCCTCTCGCTGCTTTGTGCGCTGTTGTGAACAACGTTATAGAAATACGAGTGGATGCTTTTAAGTTGTGTAATACTGTACAACGTCCCTTTGGAAGGCAAGTCAAAAGCATTGGAGCCTGGCAAAAGGCCATGGAGGTGTGTAAAATTCTACTTGCAGATGTTATAAAACAGATAGTTTACATAAGCCCAAGTAGAAGCAAAAAGCATAGCATTACTATATTTTGTCTTCCATTTAACCACATCACACTTGGAAAAGCATATTTATCCCTTGTCACCGCTGTGTTTATGAGCGAGTGTCATTTTACTCTGGATCAATATCCACACTGAAGTATTTTATAGGGATTAGAAAACATCTTACCTTGTCAGAGCTAATAATTGGTCCAAAAAGTAGAACCACTTGGCTTTAAAACATGTTGTCTTTTAAGATTG